CTTTTCAACTTTTTTGAAAGTTTAGACGTTTACAAACATAAAAAAATTAACCCCTTAGAAAACCATAATTCAGAATAAATGTTTTGCATATTGTGTTTTATTTGCTCTAATAATCAAATTATATACTTTTCTTTATACATGGCATACATTAACAAGAAATGGTACCTTATATACAAAGCTAATGAAGAAAGCAATGTCCATCTTTTCAAGTTTCATAGTCACATTCTCGTCAAGTACCACATCATGTGTGAGTTGGTTGACCCGTCAAAAAGAAAGAAAATACATAGGTTAACATGTTATTGGCACTTTTAATAAAAATTCTATCAAACAGCTGTGCACACTGTACAGATTTTAATTCAACAAAATAAGGCACTTGCCTTGAATACAACTGACCAAGCCCTCGGCTGGCTTTCTTTTCCTTCAGTTCTTTTACTTTTGGAGCAGGGCCATCAGACAACAGCCCTAGCCTTTGTGGGTCATCGAGTGCAAGAGGCTGCTTCCCTGCCATTGTCCAAGGAGCCAATAATCTTGATTGACGAATAATGCTCTGTAGATCTGGGATGTACTTGTTCCATGGTTTAGGTGGTAATTATAATCTAGCCCTGCCAACAGGGTCTGAGCATAGTACACTGTTGGTTTGAAGCTGAAGTGCTTTGAGGCATACATAAGAATTTGGTTATTGAAGGACTCCAGGTCTGAGGTTGATCTAAAATACAATAAATAAAGAATACAATAAATGTTCAGGTACACTTCTAGGGTGTATCTGAAAGACAAATACTTGGGTATGTTTTTCAACCAACGTGCATCATAATTGATCTTTTGAAGTCTTTTGTGTGCTGCAGAGCCCTTTGGAATCCTTTTTTGTATTCCTTTCTTCCTCCAAAGGCCTATGTCGAAAGGCCCCAAAGTACCGCTCATGTACGGCAGTCACATGATGCAGAACTCCGGTCCAAAGATCCTGTAATCAGATTGTTATGTACAGTAAATCTCATATACTACAAAACACACATAGTAGTTTGCTCTGATTGCTTAGAAATATATATACAGTAAATACAAACTAAGGTTGAAAGCTTCAAGAGTTTCTGCTTCCTTACAGCTGTACCAAATATGGTTGCAAATGTCTCTGTTCCAACACAGAAGCAGGGCACAGTCCTTTTCATGCTTCTATGTAAGGCAGTTGCATCCAGTTATCAGGGGCAGCTTGTTCTCATTCTCTCGTGCCAGTGGTAAGTGGGTTTTTAAGCATACCTTAATGTTTCTGAATTCCTGATTCTGACCTCTTCTGCCTTGCAACAACTGTGCCCACCTTTTCCCTTTTAAACAGCTTCCTGAACTGTCTTCAGACTCATGGACCGCTGAGCCTTCCTGTTCTGATCTGTTTGCCTGACCTGCCTTAAGAGTCCTGGACCTCTGAGCCTTTCTGTCTTTATTTGTTTGCTTTATCTGGATTCGGACTCTTGCTTTTTCTCACTCTCCGAGGCTGCAGCATCTGGAACACTGGGCGGCCCCCCCACCACATCTTGTGTGCAGCCCATCGACTGGATCCTACGTCCTTCTCAGGACACAGGCTGAACTGTTAAACCAGAGTTTCCTGTGACACCCTAGCTACTGATACTCAGACTGTCCATGTTTTAAATAAAAGCTTTTGGAGTTATACTACTGTTTGTCTTGGACGAATTCTTGGTCCATGTGTTCTGAGTAGTTACATTCTTACCATAGAACAAAAACCCATTTACAGTATAACAGTATACTGTGTACTTACAGCCACAATCTTTTTACTTAGTTTCTTTTTACTATGCTAGATATCAAGGCTGTGTTTCACACAGTGTTTGTACTAGCCACTGTCTGTAAAACATCAGAACAGTATTATTATTCATTTATCATCAAACTTGTTTTTATGACTAACATTACAAAAATCCACCTGCTAAAATGTGCTGATATTTGTATGTTTGAATCAGTGCAAAATTCTGTCACATTCCCCAGCTTTGGACGCAGTGTATCCATAGTCTCCATGAATGTCGCCTTTCCATAGCCACAGAGTTCCCACCGACCTTTCATTTGTCCCTGCTGACAATAGACATTTTTTTTTCTGTCATTCTTGTCATTGTTGTGTATGCACAGAATTGCGCACATAACCCAGGACTGTCTATCCTAACATCACCTTAATCTTAAAAATATTAATGGATTAAATGTTTTTACAACATATGAAAGCATAAAAACAGGTAATTATTATTATAAGATAAGTTAGAGTATAATATGTAATATACTAACCAAGGTACACAACAGAGTCCTTAGAACTCAGCTGGCAGACAACATTGCCACTCTCCATCCATTTCTGTCACGATTATCCTGGCTGGGGTCGTGAGGGGTGCTGGTGCCTATCTTAAGCTGTCAACTGGCAAGAGGCGGGGTCCACCCTGGACCGGATTGTTGATCCATCGCAGGGCAACACAGACACAAACTGGACAAACAACCATTTGTGCACTCAGTCACACCTAAGGACAATTTAGAGAAGCCAATTAGCCTAACAGTCATGTTTTTTGGACTGTGGGAAGAAGCTCAAGTACCCAGAGAGAACCCACAAATGAACAGGGAGAACATGCATACTCCATAAAAAAACACCCTGTCCAGGGAATTTTCTTACTGCAAGAAGCAAGTCTACCTACGTTTCCATTGTGCAGCCCATTGCCACTCTACCTCTTCCAAAAAATCTTCAATGTTTGGCAGACAAAAATTGGTTTGAATTTTTAAAAATGTTTTGGGATATCATCCCAAAGCTCATAAATTTGAAAAAAAAAAAACAGAGTTATTTTCTGGAACTCTTTTCCAGAAAGGTGGATGTTGACAACCAAAATAACATCACCAGCAAGCAGTTCATACTTGAATTGTGGATGTGAACTTCTTTTTTCCAGTGTGACCATTTGGACATATCAGCTCTGCCCCAAGATACAACAGACACTGAGGAGCAGGAGACTTTTTCTGGAGCAGTGGCATCTGGGGAACTCGCAGGCATTGAGGGTAAAGAGGAAAGAGAGCCCACCATTTCAGATCTGGTCGGTATTCTTCGTGCCCACATGATCAACAGGAGGTGAGAAATGAAACAATTAGGGAGGAGGCGGCCCATCAAGAAGGCTCTTCAACATCAATTCAGTCTTTTGCAGTTAGAAGTCCAAGCTTGTACTTCTCCTGAACCTGTTTAGCTGGAGAATTCTGAAATGGAGAAAAAGGAACCAGAGGACAGAATAGTGCCCTAAGAGAACTGTAAAGCTGTCTCCAACTTAGGTCGGTTTAATTCCTTTTCAGAGTCTAAACTACAAAAGTTAGTAGAAAGTGATGACATTGAACATTTTCTAACAACTTTTGAAAGGATTGGAGCTTCATGTAACTGGCCAGAGACTGACTGGGTTTTTCCGTCGTGTTCTTCTGCTCACCGGAAAGGCTAGAAGTGCTTATGTGCACATGGACATTGATGAAGTGAATGGCTATATGTCTCTTAAAAAGGCAATACTTAAGAAATATGATATTCAACCAGACCTATCGACAGAGATTTCACTCCACAGAAGTTGAGCCTGGAGGGACTCTTTAGGAAGAGTTGCATGAAAAATGGATCCAGCCTAAAGGTAAAACAGTTAAGACCATTGCTGAACTTATTGTCTTAGACCAATATCTGCGTATGTTGTCTCCTGAGGTACAGGTTTAGGTCCGGGAACATGATCCTCCAACTGCAGCCAAAGCTGCTTCACTGGCTGAGGTATTTGTGGCTGCAAGAAGAAAAGGACAACCCTGGAGTTATTCCTCTTCGAAGGCTTCTAAAGATTTGTGCAGAGTTGCACCTGGACAGTACTATCAAAAGGACACAGCGGTTGTGAGTAAAGCTCCCCTGAGGGAAAACCAGTCAGCAGGTGCAGCACCGAAGTAATGCAATAAAGTACCTGTCTGTTATTTATGTGGTCAGGAAGGTCATATAAAACATGTGTCCAAAGAACCCTCCTAAACTCACTCAACTGTGTGTTGTCCCATTTAATGATGGCAGTGGCATCAGAGATGGACAGTTACATGTAGTAAAACTGAGTGACATTAAAGGTAATGGAAAAAGTGTAAAAGCCTTAATTGACACTGGCAGTGATCAGACACTGGTTGAAAGAGAACTGGTTCCAGCTAATGTAATTTGAACATCAGATACCGTACTAATCCGCTGTGTACATACAAGGTGAGGAAAGGCAATATCCCACAGCCAACCTTTATATTGAAGTGCAAGGACAATTATATCTGTTGAATGTTGGGGTTGCAAAAAAACTTCCTTTTCCAGTGGTGTTGGGTAGAGATCAACCGGTTTTCTGCGATTTGCTCCCCAAACCACAGAATTGTAATGTGGTAACCCATTCTCAAGCAAAGCAGCTGGAGGAGCTTCCCCCAATTCTCAGTGTGCTTCCTTTTTATGATGCAGATTTGGATGTGCAGACTGGAACTCGAAAATCAAAATGACAAAAAAGACAGGAGAGGTTTCTGCACACTTCCACTACACCTAAAGACGGGGTGCAGGATCTGCTTCAGGTGTCTAGGACTCCTTCCAACATGGCTCAAATCCAATGTGATGACCCCAATCTGGCTGCTGCATTCTTGAGAGTTAAAGAACCTGAGGAAGGTAACAATAAAGAGACTGCTACCAACACAGGGCATTCCGGTGGCTGGTAGTACCCAAGGAGGCAAGAGAGATGGGGTGCGTCTCAATTCGCAGGCTGCCCACTTGGTAGTACGCATTTTGAGGCCGGTGACGTCACAACGCTGCGCGGAGGCCGTCCCATTTGGCAAAAATTCTGAGGACGCTTAAAATGCAGCCTCAAAATGCGTCCTCCTTTTCCCCGAATTCTGAGGATGCATCGCTACCGTCCTTAGTGGCCTCGCCTCCCGCTAGATTTCCCGAGGTGCTTTGCGCGCTTTTTTTTTTTTTTTTTTTTTAGTTGAAGAAAAAGAAGAAGAAGAAAGTCGGATTTTCTTCAAATTACGGACAACCGAAAGCAGCAGCAGCGCCGGCAGTAGTGCGGAGAACACCTTTAAATGTAAGTAGTTTGTTTTTGTTTTTTTTTAATGAACATCTATTAAAATACATGACGGTAACGGAGCCACTGGAATGTGTAGGAGCAGCTAAAGCTAAAGCTTAGAGCTAACCTGTTGATACGTGATGTTCATCAACAATTAAAAGCCTTCATACAAATGTCACTATTTTTTATTTTAACTTACATCTTACTGTACTGATAGCCGTAGCCCTCACAAATCAGATCTATTTCTTCTCATACAGTTTATTACAAAGTATTAGAGCTGTTAAAGCTTAATGCAGCTGAAGAAATAACATTAGTCCAGCTGTACTGGGCTGTTAATACTGTAAACGTTTTGTTTTAATACTCAATAACGTATAGTTTATTTACAGTACAGTATAATAAGGTTTAAAGTATAATTCGCTTGAAGAACAATACAGGCATAATTATACAGAACAGTCATTTTGCCTGTTGACTTAACAGAAATATGCTTTACATGTCATTTTGTTTTAGGGAGCAGACAGAGGAGTGGATAAAATGACCACCTTATCATCGGGGCCAAAAATACTGCTGCAGTCGGATGGAGCGAAGAGGCAGAATTCCATCTACATGTTGCATTTCTATGTAAAAGTCACACAAGTTAAAAGAAGTCCTGTTCAAACACCAACGTACAAATATAATCTTTTGATCACATCAAATGATGCTCAGATGACACTTTTTGTAAATCTCATATTTGTGATAGAAGTGATCCTTGTGTGGGACAACTTAAAAAAAAAATACAAAGTATGTTCAGGTTTGAATAATGTATTGAAACACACACACACACACACACATATATATATATATATATATATATATATATATATATATGTATGTGTGTAGGGAAATTACATCTTTCATTTATTATATTCATGTCAGCTTGAAAAAGTAATCTCCAGGTTACCATTCCAGTCTTTTTCTGTAGAATTTCATCAATCCATCCAAATCATGAAACATTCCTTTTTTCTAGCTTTAAATGAAACACTACAGAAAATAGCATCTGTTGACACACATTGTTTTCCTCTACTATAGGAATGCAAAGATCCTTGGACAGGGCAGGGGGTCAGTGGGAATCCTACTGCTGCCACCTGGCCCTGGTTTGTCCTCATGGATGAGGTATTAGGACAGAGGCCCTCTGTTGCCCCACCTATCCTAATTGCCTCCATCCCTGAGGACACACCAGGGCTAGATGCTGCAGAGGCTGAGCAGCATCAGGGTGAAGATGAGGAAGAGAATGAGTATGAGAGAGGAGGGAAAGGAGGAAGAGAAGAAGGAGTGACGAGTTGGTGGATTTAATCAGGGAGGAGATGAGATGGCAGAGGGAGGTGGGAAAGGATGGACAGATTATTTCATTTATTGGAGAGGATGGTGGACAGATATAATTTTTTTGGTGTTTTTTTTTTAAGAAGTTGAAGTTCTGTGTTGCTGTTATGGTTAAATTAAATTATTAAATTGTTTATAAAAGTTATTGCTGTCGGTGTGTTCTTAAAGTCTTTTAACCTTTTTACATGATCTGTTTCATCACTTCTTTGTAATTTAAGTAAACTTAGAACAACTTCTCAGTGACATCAGTTTATTTTTAGAGAAGCAAGTATTTACAATAAACTATTAAACATTTTTAACTATTGACATTAGATTTTAAAATTAACTACTACAACTATTTACAAAAGATATACAGTAAATATTACTAGAGAACATATATATATACAATTGTCACTGAGCAGGAGTCCCTGGTGGTGCTGCTGGACTGGATGGGATGCCACACAGATGAGCTTGGAGTCTTCTGACTGCGAGTGGGACATCATCTGGTGGGTGGGGGTTGCCTCTCTCCACAGCTGATCCAATCGACGGCTGCCATGTTACTAAAAATGTTCAAGAAGACGCAGAAAATAATGACTTTACTAAAACTGTTTTTATAACCCTGAAATAAGAACAGCTAAAATGTGATTCTACTTGCCATCTAAATGTAATGGTGGTCGGGTAGACCCTCCTCCAGGGCAGACACCTCGGCAGACAGCTGGTCCCTCCAGTGAGCACCACTGACTGCCTCCTACACGTTCTCCCCCTCCTCATCCTCTGGCATGTCGTCCTGCTCTTCATCCTCTGGGGCTGTTATGACCTGTAGAAAAAAAAAGACAAAAATATTTATTTTTATTCAGTCATCTATCTTTTTTCCTTATCTTTATTACATGATTTAGTAGAAATTAAATTTTACTTCATCTAGATCCACTATTTAACTTATTTTTTATGTTTTTATATTTTGACTTTTTTTTTTCTGTATTATGTTTATATATATATATATATATATATATATATATATATATATATATATATATATATATATATATATATATATATATATATATATATATATATAATTGCAAATAAAATCAGGCAGTAAGGGGATAACAATTTAGACAAAAATGATTTATTTCTCAACAGTTTGGCTTCTCAACACAACATTAGTGATAGTGAAAGTAGTGATTTAAGTCAGTTATTTACAGGGTTTGTACACATTTAACTATTCAATTCAAATTACTAAAGTTACAAACAAATAAATCACAAACGTACAAATAAATATAAAACTTGATATTTAAACATATTTATCAATCTGTTGACAAGCGTTTGTTTAATAGCTGGTATATTCTGATCATTAGCAGGCCCTGTGGGTTAGAATAATAGCAGGTAGATCTTACCTCTCCACTGCGCTCTGCCAGCCTGAGAAAAATCCGTCGCAGGTTTTGCTGCCGCCGAAGCCGTCAAAGCGACTCTCCTCCTCCAATAACAAGTAAATAAAAAAAATAAAAATGTCCATATCTATTTTTTTGTTGGTTCTTTCCGTATTTCTCGAGCTGTCGGATTTTGTTTTGCGCTGTGTTTGGGGTAAACGTGATGACGTCGTGTCGCAACCAGGAAGTGCTCCATAGGCTAGACCGTCCCATTTACCAACGGCTGAGGATCCTCCGGAGCAGCCTACCGAGTCTGGGTCCTCCGGAGGCTAGGTAGGCTGCGTCCTCGGAAGTACGCAGCCTGCGAATTGAGACGCAGCCATGGTCTTTAACCTGGGTCACTCGATTACATGGGCTAGCCACCTAGGGAAACACAAGACCATGGCTTGCATCAAACGTAATTTCTACTAGCCCGGCTTGCAGACTTATGTTGCCAAGTTTTGCAGGACCTGCCCTCAGTGCCAATTAACCTGACAAAGGTTCCCCTCAAGAGCACCACTGCAGCCTCTTCCCCTGATTGACACTCCTTTTGAACACTTGGGGATGGATATTGTGGGTCCGCTTGAAAGAAGTAAAGCTGGAAATCGATATATGCTGGTGATAACAGATTATTCAACCAAGTACCCTGAGGTGTTTCCCTTAAAGACAATTAAAGCAAGAGCTGTTGCTCACTCTTTGGCGCAACCCTTTTCAAGGGTTGGGTTTCCCGGCTAGATTGTGACGGATCAAGGCACTAACTTTTGAAGCAGGTATACCAGCTGCTGGGAATTAAGGGTGTACAAACTACCCCGTATCATCAACAGACTGATGGGCTTACAGCAAGGTTCAACCAGACCATTACCATTTGAAATTGCAAAGCAGCTTGGACCTACCACCTATCAAGTTGTCAAGTTAGGACGGCCACATTTTACCAAAGTGCTCCATGTTAATCTTCTGAAGGAGTGGATGGACAGGCCTAAAATGGGGGCAGAGGTTATGTTGATTAAAGCTCTGGAAGAGGAGGAAGTGGTTGATGACCAGTATCTGCCCTTATGAGCAGCAACGGAACTTTACCTTAAAAATCTATCCATTGAACAACAACGTCAGCTCAGAGCATTATGCAATCCTCAGACATTTAAAGAGTACCCAGGGCATACAGATATTCTTGAACACGAAATTCTGTTGAAAGATGATGCTTAAGTTAAACATTTGAGTTACAGAATTCCAGAGCGTTTTCTCAGCTCACTAAGAATAGTGTCATGATGGGTATCAGGGAGGCCCAATATGCAGAACACTGACGACACGGATGGAAAGTTTAACAGAGTTTATTGGCAAATTCACACATATAATAAAGACTGATGCAATGGTTCTGGGCTGGGACCGGTTCACTGGCGTCTGTGAGAAAGACAGTTTGGTTAGCGAAGGCTTGGTTGAGACTTGACTGATTGTGTTCAGGTTTGTACCTTGATGAACGTAGAGGAGGCTTTGGGAGCGGAACTGTTGGGTCCGGAGAACGCTTGGGTTGGCAGAGTCCTTAAGCTGTTTCAGCGTCTTCTAAAGGCTGTTTTGACCTTGGCTTGTGTTTCCAGTTCGGTATCCAGAGCTGCTAGGAAATCCAGAGAGTGAGTCTTCAGGTTTGGCTCGGTGGGCTGGCTCGGCAGGTTAAGCTCTTCCAGAGCTTCACAGGAGAAAGAACAGGAAACCTGGAAGCAGAGACAAAAGGGTTAGAATCCAGGTTGGACTCAAAGGAGACTTGGTTCACTAGGGATCTATGGCTTAAGTGCTAACCAACTGATTAAGACACTGCGGCGTCGAGGCAAGGTCTGAAGGCAGCTTAAGTAGTCCAGGTCGTCCAGATGAGATCATCAGCTGCAGGTGTGCCGAGCAGCTCAGCAGGGAGGATCCAGGGCGGACTCTGCTGGAGAAAAGGTGTATTTCTCCAGCTCCCAACAGTACCCCCCCCTCAACGACCGCCCCTTGGCGGTGCGGAAGAAGTAGACGGGAGGGAACGCTCATACTCCTCGATGAGAGAAGGGTCGAGGATGTATGAACCAGGAACCCATTGTCGGTCCTCCGGACCGTAGCCCTCCCAGTCGACGAGGTACTGCCAACCGCGACCTCGCCGACGGGAGTCCACGATCCGGCGAACGGTGAAGGCCAGATGTCCATCGACTTCCAGGGCGGGTGGAGGGGAGTCGGATGGAGGGCAAATGGGACTAGAGATGACTGGTTTAACCTGGGAGACGTGGAACGTAGGGTGAATCCTGAGTGTCGGGGGAAGTTGAAGACGGACAGCAGAGGGGTTGATGACTCGAGTGATCTTGTATGGGCCGATGGATCTCGGGGATAATTTGCAGGACATCCCCTTGAGGGGGATGTCCCGGGTGGACAGCCAGACCTCCTGGCCGACCTTGTACTCGGGGGCTGGACGTCTCTTGGGGTCAGTGAACCTCTTAGAGGACTCAGAGGAACGGTTGAGTGCTTGGATGGTCTCTCTCCAAACACGCTGGCAACGACGGATGTGGTGATTGACAGTCTTCACCGATATCTCTCTCTCGTCAGCAGGGAAGAGAGGTGGTTGGTAGCCGAGGCTAACTTGGAAGGGAGACTGACCGGTAGATGCAGACTTGAGTGAGTTATGGGCGTATTCTATCCAGGTGAGATATTGACTCCAATCGGTGGGATTATTGGAGGTGAGACAGCGGAGGGTGGATTCGAGGTGTTGGTTCATCCTCTCAGTTTGACCATTTGACTGGGGATGATAGCCAGAAGTTAGTGACACTTTACAATTTAGAGCAGAACAGAAAGCCTTCCAAACCTGTGAGACAAATTGGGGACCACGATCTGAGAGGATGTCCTGGGAATACCATGGAGGCGAAAGACGTGCTTGATCAGCAACTGGGTGGTTTGATAGGCCGTAGGAAGCTTTCTGAGAGGGATCAGATGACAAGATTTGGAGAAACGATCTACGATGGTTAAAATAGTTGACATACCTCGAGACTCTGGGAGACCCGTGACGAAATCGATGGCAATATG